TTACAGACCTATTCACACTTCCAAATGAAAATGATATAAAAAACGTGTACAGCGTCTTCCCCTGGTCCACATGTCAAAAACTGGTAGACGTTGGTGGAAGTTTAGGCGGTTTTCTTTCGTCTGTGTTGAAACTGCCAGGCTGCGAGCACATCCAAGGATATGTTATTGATTTTCCAGATGTTGTTGAGGAAGCCAAAACCAGGATCGAAGAACTTGGGGTTCCAGAGCACCGCATTGAGTTTGTGAATTATGATTTTACAAAGCCTTTTCCTAGTGATCTTGTGCTGGAGGCTGACACCGTTATGTTCAAGAATACACTTAGCATGTATGTCTGTGATCATGGATTGATGAGCAAGATCCTGAGCAACTGCCGCAATCTGTTCTTATCTAAAGGTGGCAGACTTCTGATTGTTGATCTATTGGTAGATGAAGAAAATGATGACAAAGTAGGGATCAATGGCATGGAGCTTAGCGCACATTCGATCCACTGGCTGAGTATCGTTGGAATTCCTGTTTTTACCAAGAGTGAGTGGATGGAACACATTAAGGTGGTTGGTGAGGAATTGGGCTATCAACTGGAGAAGTTTTATAACACCTTTCCTGGTGGACAGGTTATATTTGAACTATCTTATAAACCCAATAATAACTGAGCCGTTTGTATGAATGCGAAAGCTCACCGATAATGAGTGCTGTGAGCAAAAAGGAACAGATACCTTTTAAGACAGCCTTTGAAACTGAAAATTTTTTTATAGCGTTGCCGTCTGCACATGTAACCCAAACAGTATTGAAATTATAAGCTACCTATAGCGGTCTGTAAGTATATAGTTTATTTGTTGTTGTTAAACGTTCACGTGTACCGTGGGAAAATTAAAGGAAACGGTATATTATGAAACGTCAAAACTGTTCAAACCAACTCCAAGCGAGATGGAATGCAACTTTGGTAATCAAACTTTGGAATTGAATGTACTAGAACATATTTCAATATAACATTAAAACTAAAGCCAATTGCTATGTCAATACAAACTTATTTTTTTAGATTTCGTTCTGCCATCAGCAAAACTAATTGGTAGCGCCCAGATTAGGCCGTGGTCCATTACACAATAATATAAGAAAATGTTTCAAAACCTGCTTAGTTTTTTAGTAAGACGAGTGATAATCCAAGGATGGAAAGCATACTGTGCAAATTCAACTTTTGAATTATGTACAGAAGATCGTAATGACAGCTATATTTCGATTTTATTGCAAAATCATAATCATGCTAAAA